TAGTTTTGTTGAATGCGCATCAAACTTCCAAGTTATACTACATGTAATTTAAACGCGTCGTACGTGTTGTAGTTTTGTTGAATGCGCACCAAACTTCCAAGTTATACTACATGTAATTTAAACATGTAATACGTGTTGTAGTTTTGTTGAATGCGCACCAAACTTCCAAGTTATACTACATGTAATTTAAACATGTAATACGTGTTGTAGTTTTGTTGAATGCGCACCAAACTTCCAAGTTATACTACATGTAATTTAAACATGTAATACGTGTTGTAGTTTTGTTGAATGTACTACTGAGTTCCAAGTTGTACTTCAAACTCGTAGTACGTGTTGTAGTTTTGTTGAATGTACTACTGAGTTCCAAGTTGTACTACATGTACTTAAAACTCGTAGTACATGTTGTAGTTTTGTTGAATGTACAACGTACTTCCAAATTGTACTTCATGTACTTAAAACTAGTAGTATGTGTTGTATTACAATTGTGCTACACATGTACTACGTTTTACTTTTGAAAGTTTTTTTGAAAAGATATATAGTAAAGAGTAAACGGTTCATTCAGCTATGTCTAAACTTTGCATTTTTGCAAACTAAAGATTCAAGAGTTTCCTCGTATTTTAAAATATTCTGTGTTTCAAGAATTTTTTGTTTTCTCTAGATAATATATCATCGAATGTTGCGGGATTTGATGGAATTGACATGAGTAGATAGCAAGAAAAAGTGTTTTTTTTTTCAATATGCACTTTTTGTCAGAAAAGTGATCTCAAGAATCAAAAAATATTTTTTTCAAAGCATAATAAAAAAAATTTATGGATAGCGGAGTGACAAGTGAAATATATTATAGTTTTTGTTTCAAGTCTTTATCACATGTTGATAGAAAGTGATGAGTGTTAGAAATTAAGTAAAATTTTATTGATATCAAAAATTTATTCTTGGAAAGATTTGTACCCTTTTGTTGTTCTCTTTACGTTAGATTTGGAGTTCTCAATGATTTTGGACCTCGTTTTGTTCATTTGTTTTTGTTTTGTTGATCACACGTCTCGAAACCTCCTTCCAACACCTATCTCATCCAGACTTCAATCAGCTTGCAGCAACGGTAACTTTATCCCACGGCCTCCAATCCCTGCTAGGTCAACTCTATCCTAATTGTCGATAGCCAAAAAATCCGAGAAAAAACGTACCGCATGACATTTGGCACGCCACATGTTGCTTGTGTAGTTATTTGTTAATTCTTGGTTTTTGATATCGCTACATAAACAAGGAAATCAAGAAATATTTTTTCGTTCTCACGTTACTGCATTCCCGACCCTCTACCTAATCGTCACTAAATCGTACTAGAACTATCTAAATAAATAATTATTTTTTCTATTTACTACTCCTTAGTTTAACAATGATGATAATAATTCTATTTAAGTATTCCATTTTTTTATTCTTCTACAATTCAAAGAAATCTTCCTACCTTGTACTAAATTCAAACGTTAACATATAATTGAGCTCACAAACAATATACTTGAGTTGACGTCTTAAACGAGCAAGTCAAAATTATAAAACTGTATCAATGTGAGAAATATAGATGCAATTTGTTGGTGAATAGAAGTTGATTTCAAAATTAAGAAATCTGAGGACATATTTTTGAAAACAATAAATCTAAAATTCAAAATATAAATTTTTTGAAATTAGAAATATAAGACTTTGATTTCCAAAATCAGTAAATAGATTTCAGAAATCTAAACTTCTGTTCAAAAAAACTCTAAATAAAAATACACAAATCTAAACAACCCGCAAGATATACTATAAATTGATGCATCATTGATCGAATGAATCGAGACGTATGATCAACAAGACAAAAAAAAACAAACAAAATGAGTTTCAAAATTATTGAGTAACCCCAAATCTCACGTAAAGAGAACAACAAAAAAGTACAAATCTTTCCAAGAATAAACTTTTGGTATCAGTGAAAAATTCTTTAAATTCTAACACTCATCACTTTCTATCAACATGTGATAAAGATTTGAAACAAAAACTTGTTTAGATTTGTGTATTTTTATTTGTTCACCTGCCTCATTTATTTGTTCATCTAGATCGCTCTCACATCGACCACTTCTTCGAACACTCACAGCCTGAGTGCTAGCTCTTTGACCTTCAAGCTGAACCGTCGTCGTCTTCTATCAAAAACTCAACCTCGACCTTCTTACGCAGAGACTTAACTTTTCTTCTTATCACTTCGTGACAAATCTCTCTACAATCGGCTCGAGGTGAACTCTCTTCTTAGTTCACGAGTGTCAAAGAATTCGTCAGCAACAAAGAACCCGTTAGCAACAAAAAAAAAACTCAGTCTTCTGTGAAAACTCTACACTTTGCAGAAACCCGTCATATATTGTCACATATCAGAAAACTGTCACAGAAAAAACGTCATGTTAGAAAACTTTTCACAAAAAACACTCTGACACTGACACCGAATCAGAACCTGCTCTAATACCAATTCTTACGGCAAACCTCACACTGAGCAAACTAACAACACAATAAACACAATGGATACATATATAACGTGGTTCATCCCTAAGGGTTACGTCCACAAAGTAATACATTCGAGAGTTTATTGCTTGATGTGAGAAACTTTTTACCAACCTTAGGGTATATATACCCAAGGTAAGCAACCATTCTATGTTATAAATAACTACATATGCGATTAACCTAAATTAACTCCTTAATCGGAGTTAACCTCAACATTTTGCTCTCGTCCAGAATTTATACTCAGCAATAGCTCAAATGTATAATGTTGTTAATATTGTCATCAAATTTTTAAATCATAATTACTGAAATAATTAAATCTAATTTTTTAAACTTTTCTAGACAAATGAAAATAATAAAGAATATGTATAGATAGATGAATGTTAAATGATTGTTTAGTCTATGTTAGATAAAACATAATCTAATAAACCAGATTTAGAGTTGGGATTTGATAAGAACGCACGTAAAAAGATACTACTGAAAAATAAAGAATTTGTGAAAGAAACTAAGATTAAAATGAACATATGTATAAACGTAGATTCTTTGGATAATACTTTGGTAGAAGAGCTAAAACTAAGCATTGAATTTGAAGACTAGGTAATTTTTTGTGAGTTAGTTGGAGAGTTATCGTCTGAGACTAATAAAGATAGAAAAAAATATCTTTTGAAACTGATAGCAAAATAAAAGTAGATATACTAGCCATTATGACTTAAAACGGAAAGATTACCTATTTCATTCAATATGTTGATGCATTGGTTAGGTCGAGAAGATTTTCAATTATGGTTCGACAAAACTTGGCGACGATAGATACGCTATCAAATCTGATTAAATGTTACATAACCAAAGATGATTATACTTTGAGACATATAGAAATATACATCAAACGATTAGCAAGTTCACTACTTACGAATTTGAAATATTGCTGAGTGTGATTCTTTGATACTTTTGATAACAAAATTTATGAGTGGAAGAAAAATCACAAAGATTATCACTTTAGAGTATAAGATCAAAAATAGAAAAGAAAATTGATCTAAAAATTGATTAAAGCATTGATTTGAGAACATTAGTATTGTTGAAATAGAAAAATAAAAATTAAATTTTTACATATATTAGAAATTAACCATTAAATAGAAATAACAACACATATGAAACATTCTAGATATTTAGAATTATTTTTTAGAGTATAAAAAGTATTGCATCTAAGATTTGAAATATAAAATTTTATAAATAAAATTTAAAAAACATGAAATGATTTTTTTTATTAATTATGATAAATGAAAATCATTCATCTGTTAATTAGAAAAAAATAAAATAAATTGATTAAATAATTATTTTTGATTATTATGAATTCAAATTTTAGCATATATTTTATGCATTTTTATAATGTTATTATATATATATTGGAAAAAAGAAGAAAATTTATTTTCAATTAATTCTTTTTTGAAAAATTAAACATTTATCTGTATTACTTTAAATTTTTGGACATATTTGTTCAAATAGTGAAGAAAATTATTTTAAAATTAATATATTTTATATAATAATAATTTTTAGATATGATGTGTAAAAATATTAGTCAAATTTAATTTGTAACTCTTTCAGTTAGAAAAAAACTAAAATGTTCAAACTAATAGAACATTTCAATTTGTATTTTCTCTATTTCCTATAAAGCTATATTTCCATGATTTGATATCACTAAGAGTGAAAATTTTGGTAGAATGGAACGTAAATTCTTTAGTATGTAGAAATTTGTGACATAAATTAACCTCTATCTGAAGAATCATTCCAAAATTGCACCAAACTCTAGTTTAAGAACCTAAATAGTGGAATATAAATTCTAGTAAAAACTTAGGTCAAGCTTTAGCGGGGTTTAGGGTTTAAACCCTTTTATTCCAGGCTAAAGCATGGAATAAAAAAATAAAGTCTGGGACGTTTATCTAAATGCTGTATACATCGGACGCTTCTAACATCCGAAATTTTAGATCATCCGAAAGGAATCTCGGTGGCATCTAAGTAGGCGCGGTAGAGGGAATAAGGAATAAAAGAAGGTGCATGTCTCAGGACATATGAATATTCATGATACGAAGCCATCACAAGTATTCTCACCAAAGAAAATAAACACCGATCATACTTATTTCCGCCCCAAAGAATCGGAAGGTCGGACGAAAATATGAACAGAAGAAAGTCTTCGAAACGACCCCGGGCGGTCCAGAGCGGGGCCGGGCGAGGAGCGGCGGACCCGTGATACGCAAAGACAAGAAAGGCGGGGCGGGCACGGGAGAGCGGTGTACTTTCCCTGGGCCTCGACCCTTGATGATGGAGTGTCGCAGAGGTGGCCAGGGGAGTAGTTGCCCATGGAAGGGGCGGTCTGCCGCGTCATAATCTGAGGCCAGGCCTGCAATTTTCTCGTCGTGGAATCAGGCTCGAATCATTGGTAGATGTACTGGCGCGATCAGAATGTGCGAGAGGTCGGTGTAGCGTGACCGACCTGGACTGTACTGTACGTCCTGAGGCCGATGGGTTCGCGCCCGATTAGGGTTTGCCGCCGGGTTGGCGAAATCGGTCGTTGCGTAGTCTGAGCTCCGGCCATTGGCGCGTGCGGGTCAAATTCTCGTTTTTGTCGAAGAAGGTGGTGGGGCAGGGCGAAAAGCGTTCGCGCAGAGCGAGTGAGTGAGATAGAGAGAGAGGGAGAGGGGGACAGTTGGAGATGCAGTTCAGACCTGATGTTGGAAACGGGCCTGGCTTGGCACTTCGTAGACCCGGCGCCCCTGGTCCCCCGTTTCCGGTACGTTTAAGTTCTGCCGAGCGGTTGTGTGTCTTCACTTTCTTTTGATTGTTATTCATCGGGCGTGTCGCGGTCTCCCGGGAGATGGAGGACAGACGTGTAAGTGGTGTCTCCCGCACTTCAATAAAGTTTTTGCACAATTCCGGTTTTGAGTACGTTTGTGCCTGTGATTGTGTTGCATTTGGATGTGTGGATGTCGAATGATCCTTGGTTGATTTCCTTCGTGAGGTTGTTCCTTCGTATTTCCTTTCTGAGGGTGTTTTTTGAGTCGGGGAAGTCGATGGTCGGGTTTTGAATCCTCTACGTAGAATCTGCACATGTCATAACAAGCCCGGTTCTGCAGCCCACGAACATGTGGGCCGTAGGTTACACCCTTAATGTTTTTGGTCAAGAAGGAAGTGGTGTGGCTGATGTGAAAAGTCAAGGAGTCTTTTCTTCGGCGCACCGGTTTATCGGGCTCTTTGTTCTTAGCACATGACATCTGTGACCGATGTTGTTCTAAGTGTTTGATGAGACGGAGTTCGCGGATCCTATACTCTTACATGACATTTGATGCTAACTCAATAATATCGTCGTAAACTTCTATTCTGGTCTCTTTCTCTCTCGACTCCTCGATTCTTGCGTGCTCATTGATAGTCTGTGAATGCCAATTTGATCAAGATCGTCTACCTTCGTGTACCATCGTCCGTCTAGATATATTCTCAATCGACGGTGTTAGACTGCGATTTCCCCTCCCCGTCGGAATGTTCATTGTTGAAATGGAAAGAAGTCGTATAGGTATTTCTTCCAAGTCAGACGAATATCAATCAAGATGGACTGAGAGGTTCTGTCTTTGATTATCACTGATACAGCTCACTAACATGCTTCTCCACCTTTACTTCAGGATTACGCACGCTCGTGTGTAAGAAGTGGGTGTAATGTGATTCATCGAACGCAATCATGGAACGCAGTGCTATAGGTAATAAACGAGAGGACTATCTCTTGCCATAGGCTTTGGCTTGGAGCTAACGGTCGTGTCATAGCACCTTCCATTTCGTACAGTGGCCATCTACATGCTTATCTCTACAGGAGACCCTAGTTGGGTTTCCGAATTTCCTACATCTCACTACTTCCTACGCTGCTTGTCCAAGCTCAGTGTAAGTTGCACTTTTTACGCCAACAGTTCTGAAATTGTGTACTCTCATTAACTTTTAAAAGTATATCCCGTGGACCGTCCGAATCTGCAATCTGCATCTGGAGTTGCAGATGTTTGTAGGCCGGACCGATGAACTCTCACATAGAAATAAAATCAGAAATCTTGACATCAAGACGTCTCCCGGGTGCTCAAAATGAGATTGCAAAACTAAAATTGAAGATTGTCGTTGTAACAGACGAACATTGACGCCCCACATATCAGAAAGCGCTCTTGTACTCAAATAAGGGCTGGGTTTCGTTATTATTGCGCAACTCTCCACAAGGAGAAACCCCGAGGAACTTGTTTGCTCATTGATTTGCAACATAGCCAAGTTTTGTTCTACACGTCCAATGGAACCTCAATACACACTCAAATTGCAAGACAAGCTACCGTGACATGTATGCGAGCTTTTAAATTTACGAATGGAAGAAAACTGGTCGAGAAACAGAAATGAAGAGTACATCTTATGTGCACAGGTGTTGTTACTAGCAAACCTTCACATTGTAAGAGGGAGTCAGTAAGATTGGGAGAGAGCTTGATCTGTTTACCGAGACTAGGTAGAGCAAGTGAGCGTATTTCTAGTCTCGACTTAGCATGTCGCCACTGTCTAACCTTCGAACACCTCTTACACGCCAGGAGAGAGACGACAGGAGCCCAATCGTTTGCGAGATGCCGCAAATTGCTTCACTGTGGAGTCCCGATGGATTCGAAAGATAGATGAGCAAGCAACTGCTAACGAGGCCAACTTTCAAACCACGCGCATGATTCGCTGTCATTCCACATACTTCTTACACGGATTCACAATCTCTGTACACTCCTGACGTCCGAACGAGGCCGGGAACAGCGGTCTAACGCTTGAACTGTTGTATCGAAATGAGACACGAAGTTCGTCCACCTTCGATCTGTCTGTAAAGATTCCTCGTATTTTGGAGTAATCAGCCGTTTCTGGAATCGGTGTCTGCAATTCTAGGAGGTGCAAGTTCCTCAGCGTTGAGTCTACCTCACCAGTCATGTAGCAACGCTCTTTCATCTCCAGGAGTATACATCTTCTCGCTATCAATGTTTACCATCGTTTGACAGTCATCATGCACATGCTCAATCTGATGTAATGAGGGTACGCCTTTTCGCCATTGCGCGTTTCCCCGATGGCTTTTGCAGCGCATAGTCTCCCACCTTGCTATCCTCGTCATTGAAGTCAGTGTCTACAGACTTCCCCAACAGAGAGTCTCCGTTCTTTACAGGATGAACTCATCCACGACTTACAACTCCTGCGTCTGGTCAAACATTCCCCATTGCCAACACAATAACATCAAAATCTGAAGCCTATAGAAGACAATGACGAGCACCCTCAGGATTCGATAAGTACCAGGACTGGTGCCACATTGCGCCTGTGCAGACCAGTTTTCATCGTTGCTATCAATTTACCGTCTCTCAGTACCTCGCAGCATTTGTTCTGCGTGATCTCCCTTTGATTTTATCTGTTTTCTACAATTCAGAGTGCCAATATCCTCAATCTTGACATCTGGGCACAACTCAACTGTGAAAGCCCAACTATCGCCACCTGCCACTGATGTGGTCATCTCATTTGTCTCCTCGTTTATGTAGTTTCTTGTTTAGTCAGTGTTGCTTGGCATATTACTGAGATCTTTGCAGGTATTGCTTCACTCTTTGTGTTCAGGAAAACCACCTTCACGGTTGACATCTTTACCTTGATTTTGGTTTGTCAAGAAGTTTTGCCACGACCAACAATCTAGTTCTAATCACCTCAAAGTGTCTGTGAAATTCTTCTTTTCGATTATCTGCGGTAGGATGGTGGTGTACCGGTTACAAAGTCCGTCGTTTTTCCACACGTTAAGTCTTACAAACTGACAGTAATTCTCACACCCTCTACTGTACATCCGCATTCTCTCATTACTTCGTTATTTAATATGCTGAGTTTTCACATTGATTGTTCTCGGTCAGTGACATTTTAGTTGGGTACCGTCCCGTAGTCTCATGTCACGTGTACATTGCCGGGATAGTGTATGCATACAGATACCGGCTTTGTGTATCAAATGTAGTGATATTGCCTTACATGATGAATATGCAGGCAAGTGCTCGGAGAGATATGTCTGCGTATCTCTATAATGTAACAAGATAAATTGCCTCTCTTTCCCCGACTCCTGATTATGAACTAGGTCCTGATTTTCTTTGTTGTGCGGCCTCATCTCGATCGCGGCAGATCTTTACAGTCATTACATTAACTTTGGTCCGATATCTTTCTTCTGTCCCCCAGCTCTAGTGCACAGATCTGGGGTTTTGGTTGTTCTGTTGATTGTCGAGATGCAGTTTGATCTTTAATCATTTTCCGGGTTTTTTTTTTTGAAAATAGTAGACAGGACTGTTATCATCTCTGTAATTATTATCCCATTCTCTGTACTGTAAACAACCCCCGCTCTTGTTGCTGGTAGTACACCACGAAGGATATAATTCTGCAGTCTTTCCTTCATATCAGGGCGTATTGTCGTTGGCCTAGCTATTAGATATGCTGAATTGGTACTTAATCGCCCGTTTCAAAATATAAGGCTCTTGCTGTTGGGTCCTTTCATTCAAGTTGCGACGGACTGGACTGCCGAGAGTTTCTTCCTTCAAGCTCCAGAACTGTTGTTATTCATTTTTTGATCTAAGTAATCTGCAGTTCATAATAGGACTTGGGTGTGCTGGCACATTCTTTGATTTTAAGTCGTTCCTGCCGCTCGAGTACTTGCACTCTATAATGAAAGAAAAATAGTAACGTCTTCGTGCTTTCACAGTGTCCAGAACACCTGGTTGACCATTTCCTTTCTTAGTTCTGAATCTAACATGATTTGTCCTTTACCACGACGAGCTAGTACAAATATTTTCCGTTTCATTCTAGTGAGACCAGAATGCCGACACATTGTGTTGCTGTCAAGCTACTCAAAGCCAGCTTGCAGACCAGTTGAATTTGTTGTCTACTCTTGTTTCATTGGTCGTCCCATTCTTGACACCCGGGGTTCGTTCCTACATTAGTTCTCTGCCCTTATCACCATACTGGTCATCAATCTGCAGTGGCACTTCCTTACTGCAAGATTCACTACTTCATGTTATCTTTCCTTTGCTTACATTGTGTTCTCCCGCTTCCAGATGATGTTCAATCTTTATTGTCCATTTCTTTCTCTTTTCAAGTCGTTTCTTTCGAATTGTATTAATACCTGCATTAGCATTCAGTGCCGCTGATCGTGAGATAATTTTGGTCTGCCAGGCCCCTCCTCTCAGGGGAGGATTTCCGGTCGATTATGGACCGCGAGTAGATGATCGGAGATACACATCACAAGCCCCATCTCGACCCAGTGCGCCGAAGGCCCAGCAACAACAGCAACAGCAATCAGATGACCAGGAAGAAGCGCCCCCGTCTAGACATTTGTGGGTAGGTAACGTCTCCCAGGAAGTGACGGAAGGTCAACTAGTAGAGAAATTCTCGAAATATGGACCTATCGAGAGCGTGACAGTTTACTCCCAGCGCAATTACGCTTTCATCAACTTTAAAAACCTAGAGAATGCTCAAGATGCCAAAAATGGGCTTCAAGGAGTTGTTCTTGGAGGCCTTGCCATGCGGATTGAGTTTGCCAAGGGGGTAAGAAATTTTATCTCAGTTTCCGTAAGTTGTTCATCAGTACCTCTCTTTTAATTGGAATGATGGAGCAATCTTTGCACGTTTTCCTCCATTTTAGGTTGATACAGACTTAGTTTCAACTCTCCAAACGTGTAACACTTTGTATAGCTTTGAGCGTGGAACGTTATGTACAGCCTGAGAGTGAAGGTTGTCATATTTGCCAAAGTCATCGCAAAAGCCCTTGATTCTTGAGCATCGATGAGTCTATTTCGTTAGGGGAAGAATTGTCCGCACTTCGAACAAGATAGATAGAGATTCTCCTACTTAGATATATATAATCTTAACCTTGAACTCTTGGTGTTTACATTCTTTTGCATTTCAAATTACAAATATAGATACTGAAGGTTTTGCTTTCTGCTTGGAACGACGGCAGGCTAAGCCTAGCAGGCATCTCTGGGTTGGTGGAATTGGTTCAACGGTGACCAGAGAGTTGATTGAGGGCGAGTTCAAGAGATTTGGAACGATGGAAGACTTCAAATTTCTCCGCGATCGCAATTGCGCTTTCGTTGATTATGTGAAAATAGAGGATGCAATAGCAGCTGTAGATTCTCTCAACAGAAAACGTCTCGGAGATGAAGAACTCCGCGTCGACTTTGGTCGGTCGCAGCCTCCGAAGCGGGTACTTTGCATTCCACTTCTCCCCATTTGTCTGGTCTTCTCGAAGGTCGGAGTTCTCGTAATGTTCATCCAATCCTTGTCTGAGTTGCTCTCCACTTCTATGTTGAATGTTTGTTGTCTCTCATTTCCCTTGTTTGTGTATCTCAAACACTTCATGTAGTCTTTATCTCGTCTTACTATTACGTCTTAGTAACGGATTACATAGGATTCAGCTCTCTGACTTCTGCACTGACGTATCGTGCATTGTCTGCCCTTCAATCTGTAAATTCATGCACTTCCTTGGATTCCTTTCGTGACAGCTTGAAATGCTAGGTTATTTTTTTTGCAGTTCACCTAAGTTTTGCATTCATTATTATTTGCTTGTCATAGCCTACAGACCATACTTCTAATGAAAGCGCTGTCTTTCTCTCTACAACTACTGTTTTCCTGGACCTTGGATGCCACGTAACCGTTCCGTGAAGCCTCCTTTCTCTTCGTCTCCGCTGCTCTCCGTTATGATGTATGTCGTCGATGGTCTTCCTGTAATCTCGACATTTATCAATATGCTCTGACATGTCTTGTTGATTCTCTTGAGAAGTTCTTTTTGTTTCTGTGACAGACGTACTGGATTATTGGTTTTGTCGCAAAATACGTGTTTTGTGCACAGAAGACTCATTTTCTCTTAAATTCAACAAACTGTACTTTTGGGTTCTCTCTAGTTTTGCTGCTTTGTTCCTGTCTTGCGGGTCCATATGTTTGTACCAATCTGCCTTTGACTATATAGTCATGCCTGATTTATTCCAGGAAACTCGACCTGGCTCTGCACAGGGAGATGATTGGGGTACGCCATCAAGGGATGTGCGTGGTCATTCAGACCAGTTTAGGGCACCTACGGAATCATTTAGGGGTCCTCCCGATGGATTTAGAGACTCGGAGAGACCTTCACAGCCCCCAGGTGATTCTTTTCGCGGTTCATCAGAAGGATTTCAGGTAATATTACGCATGTCGTCAGGATTTTGAGATCGTTGGGCTGTATTGTATTTAATGGTTTCCTTTAGTTTTGCTATTCACCCCTGTAATCGTTGATCTTGTATTATGTTGTATATTTCAGTTTTCCACTGTGTGAAGGATTTCATTGTTGACACCCATACCTGAATTAAACGATGGGAAATAATTGCACTACCAAGGAGACCTTCTCGAATGTCTAGAGTCTCTCGTACACACTGCCATGACAGGGACGTAGCAATGAGCAAAGTTTTCTTGGCTTATTGTGTAGGCTGGCGTTGGCACAGCTTCAAACGGACCAGGATCAGGAAGGAATAGGGATAAGGAAGAACCAAGTGATGTGTTGTGGGTTGGGTTCCCTTTGCTGTCAAAGGTGGACGAAGAGGGTCTGCGCAGGGCATTCGTACCTTACGGTGAGGTTGAGCGAGTGAAGACTTTTCCAGGTCGGACATACGCATTTGTTCAGTTCAAAAATGTAGAAGAAGCAACTCGAGCGAAAGATGCCTTGGAGGGGAAATTGTTCAATGATCCGCGGGTGCACATTCGGTTTTCAAACAGCGAGATTGGCCCTGTTGATAATCCTCGCACAGATGGCACTCTTGTATCACCATCTGGAGGGAGGGAAGCTCCAGGATTTGCTGAAAAAAGCCTGGTGAGGATAGCTGCAACGGAGAGGTATACTGCAACTAATCCACCAATGCGCCCTACCGGTCTAAGGCCTGAGTATTACCCAGGTGGTCTTGCACGTGGCGCAGCCCTTGCCAGGGCTGCTGCAGTAGCTGGATCTGGTCTAGGTACCGGACGAGGTGTAGGCAGGGGCCTGGCCTCTGATACTAGGATGTCTTTGGATGAGAGGGATTATCAAACAGGTGGGCAAGGGGGCAGGAGTGCAAGGCCCGGCTCTAGAGCTCCTTATGATGATGGATGGGATTTACCTGATGAAGAGATCATCTCTCGCGAGCCAAAGAGAATGAGAGTTCTACACGGTGGAGGCCCTGAATCGGCCTACAACTCTAACTATGACAGCGGACGACGGTACGCTGAACCCGATAGTTTTGGGCCTGGATCTGATTCCGGTAACGGATATGGAGGAAATCAGTCTCGAAGCACAGTGGCGGGAGACGACTACAACCAAGGTTCTGGTGTCCCAAGACCTCGCATTGGACCTCTACATTTTGACCCTCCAAGACCTGCTCCTGCGGGGCAAGCTCAGTTACATGCAGTAACACCTTCGGGACCAGTGAAGAGAGAGACTTTCGCTCCTGAGGTTGGGGTAACGGGGATTAACGAGGGCTGGAGATGGCATGGAACGATTGCAAAGGGTGGAACTCCTGTCTGTCGAGCCAGGTGCTTGCCCGTTGGAAAGGGTATCGATGTCACCGTGTAAGTAATATCACCTACAGATGTAATCTTGTGAGCTTGATATTCTTGGAGCTAAATGTATGTTGAGTAGTTCTTTCTGAATCTGGTCTTGCAGCTTGCAAATTCAGAGCTTATAGAGTACGGTTAACAGAGGTTCTGATAGCAATAGAAATGGCTGTATTGCAGGCCGGACGTGGTCAACTGTACGGCAAGAACCGATCTCGACATGTTGGCAAAGCATGTTTACCAAGCGGGTGATTTTGGAGTTGTCTTTTTTGTACCAGAAGCAGACCCTGATGTTCCTCCCTATCACGACTTTATGCACTATCTGGGTGAGAAGCACCGGGCAGGGGTTGCCAAACTGGCAGACGGTACCACTCTTTTTCTGGTGCCCCCATCCGAGTTTTCTGAAAGAGTTCTCAAAGTCCCTGGGAATAACTGTTTATTTGGAGTGGTTCTGAAGGCTCCGCAGCCTAATCCTGCAGCATATGTTCAACCTCAGCCGCAGCCGGCTCCCCCTCAGCAGCTGCATCCTCCACAACAGCTTCAGTCGCAATCGCCACAGCAGCAATCGATCTCACATCCACCGCAATATTCGCAATCTCAAGGGCCGCCAATGTCTAGTGGGCACTCCTCACAGGATAACGGTTCGTTTCAAGGTCCACCCCCTCCCCAAGGTCAACCACCAACACCAGTGGTTGCAAGCAGTAATTTATCGCAGTCTCAGTTGAGCAACCATTCCGGTGGTCTTCCTACAGTTCTGACGCCCGAGCTTATTGCCTCTCTCACAGCTTTACTGCCTCAACAAAACCAAGGACCGCTTCCTCCTGTCTCTGCCCCGCCTCCGATGTCGACATCAAACTTGCTTCCACCTTCAGCAAATGGAGTGGGTTCCGGTGCATACTTGGGCAGGGGAGGTCCCAGTTCGGGATCCGCAACTCCTGCGATGCCTAATCCCTCCAATATTGATAATCGGTCTAACTACAGACCCGCGCAAGGCAATCAGCAATCTATGGTGACATCTCAAGGATGGCCTTCGTCTCATTCCGAGCAGCCGTCAAGTGGTGGGGGTCACCTGTCTGCTTCTGCAGAGCAGGGCTCTCATTTTACTCCATCCCAGCAGCCGCAGGCGTCCTTATCTGTTGCGTCTAACGTGCAACAACCTCTTCCTGGAGCACCAACTAGTCAAGGTCAGTTAGGTTTTTCAGGATCTCAGAGCCAGGGGTTTTCCGGTCCTGGTTTTAGTGGCCAGCAATTGCCTCAACAGCCGAGGCCTCCTCAACATCCACCACCGCAGCTGGGAGGCACGCCTCAGTTACCTGCTGATCAGCTTGCACAATTGACAGCACTTTTGACTCAGAGACAGCAGCAACCCGCACAACAGCAACAAGCTGCACAATTACTACAACAACATTATCAGCAACAGCAACCTGCAACTCATCCAATTCTTCCTCAGCCACCCTTACCCTCTCATCAACCTCAAACGCAAAACTACACCCAGCAATCAACCCAACCACCTCAATACAGTCAGCAAGGACCTTCTCAATCGCAGTGGGGACAGGCCTCCCAGTTGCCGCAACACACCTCGCAAAATATAATGCACTCTCAAGGTTCAAGCGTCAACAGCGGTGGCTGGGAGCATGGATCCATAGGTCAAGGCCAGCAACATCAACCGCAGCAGCAACCAGTACCCCCTCCTCAGCCACCACAGGCGCCAATCTCTCAAATGCAGCAGCAGCAGCAGCAACAGCAACAACAGCAGCAACAGCAACAGCATGCGGGCTCTGGAATGATCGCAGCTGATCAGGGAGGCTCTTCGAATCAAGATGAGGCCGAGCGGCAGAAGCGATTTCAAGCAACCTTGCAATTAGCAGCTGCTCTATTGCAGCAAATGCAACATCAACAAACCCCTGGTCAAGGAAGCGGTGATCAACGATGACTATAGTAATCACATCTTGTCAGGTATGTCATCTGCCACTGTATATATGGGTCCCAATTCTGCTTCGTGTTCCTGTTGAAGTCCAATAATGATGTTTGATTTCCCTCCTCCCTTTATAATTGTCCGCTTGTGTTCACAACCTAAATCGTTAAGGCTCAACTGTCTACTATCTCACCCAGACGATTTTAGCTGGTGGCGAAAATCAGTTAATCTCAGCTCCCGTAGATACTTTGCTGTTTTGAAACGAAAAATCTCCTGTTAAGCAAGATACTTTCGAGATACTCAAAGTATGGAAGACACTTCCTTTCAATTGAATTGTATGAAATTACTAAAATCTCAGAATGCATCGGAACTACTGGTAAATTGAAACAAACCCTTTTGAAGAACATCTGACACTTTCAGCTGCTGTAGAATCTGGTTGTGGAAAATCTACTACTGTCTCTTCTCTTCAACTTAAAACCGATGAATGTTGATGTAATTTCATTGCATCGCATCCGGCTTTAGAGAACGGAGCAATAAATTGCTTTGTCGGTCTTTGTCTTCGAAAGTTCAGACATGTACGCCTCGAAGGCTGCCTAGCACCTTAAACATCAACTTAACAGGTGGGCTGTAGAAATTCGTAGACCAACGTAGATAATTTCTGAGTTGGCTGTTGCCGAACAAAGTTTATTTTTGCCAGCACTGGTGATGAGAACTCTGGTTGTGTTGCTCAACCTAGATTTCGGAAGTGCTGCTTTGCTTCAGAGCTGATTGTGTTGAACACTTAAAGCCTTAATTGATGGCTGCAAGTCTGGAGTCCACGTATTAGCCGTTGCCTCAAGTAGACCTCCACGCTCACGATCTAGTTAACCTTAGCTTGACTCATCCAACGCGCTCTCAACAATACTTCATAGATGCGCAAGGATTCGCCAAGACTATCTGTCACCCTGCGAAATATCAAGACATCTCCAAGTTGTAGATACGTATTTTCATAATGAATGGCAAGTTCACTCAATATAGTCAGGTGAAAGGTGAACTTTGTGAACGATTTGAATCACTTGAATGCTATTGCAATTCAAAGAACCGCAACCTGCAAATGTTTTTCTTGGACCACTTCAAATAACACCTCTATGTTCAAACGAAATTCCCGCAATGCTACCCTGAAAGTAAACAGCTGCTAAAATTGCTACATCAGATTTTCCACATGTGAAGGTTACTGTGCTAGTTCTGGAGTCATAATTGTATCGTTCTTACAGGTGGAAGAGTGGTCCAAATCTTCACTCGTTTGCGTTGCAATCCTTTTCTTACGTACTGTCGTGAAGTTTGAGTATTATGGTGTCGTGTAAGCTACTTCCAACCGGATTAAACTAAAATATACCAACCACGAATTGAAGAGGATCTGATCTAACAACCTACACACACCGGTCATGTGAATCAAAGCAGGAACTAGTTTGAAATTTTCAATCTTCATACCCCACGAACCTCCCATCATAGCTCGCTGCTGCCAATCAGCATCGTTTCTGAACCTGTGTGCTTTCCTGACTTGCAAATGGTGTGTAGGTAAGGTTTGATTGATAAAGCATTGAACTCACCAAAGGACATTTCATCAAATTTGCTTTGCAGTATTGTAATCCATCTCGCTATCGTAACGGTGGCTCTCGGAGCAGTTGAGCACTACTGATCATGGTGCAGCAGCAGCACGACACTTCTCATTTACATGTATTCACTGACTAGCAAGAACGAGCATCCCAGCAAGATACCATCGTGGTCCCGTCGTTCTAGGTGAACATCAGGTTTTTGAACTTCACACTTCCGAGAATTCTCGAGCAAATTTCATTGGCACTACGGTTTTTTTCAAACGGCCCATACTATCGTTTCGTAAATACTAGCTTACGCAAAGACACCGCTCGAGGGGAGGCCGTCACTTTTGTGTTTTGAAAGTATGTTGTAGATTGGAGACACTTTCCCTTCGAAAATTCTCCAACGTTGAGTTGCACGCTATAGACTATCGAAATGGACTTTTTCCTCTTCCATGCACACCTCTGACGTAGACAACGTAGATGATACATACAGTCGGTAGGTACACACTACAGAGTTGGTGCCCTTAGAGAACCAAACTCGAACAAGGCATGACAACGGTCTTATTAGGATAGCCAGAGAGATTCCGAAGCTAACAGTGCTTGGCCCTTCACTGTAGTCCATGTAATTATCAGCTCAAACAAGAAAACTCATTCTCTTTTTGTGCTGGCTTTTGATGCCTCTCAGACGGATTTTGTATTTCATGGAGGAGCCTAACTGCTGTGTGTAAGCCATGGTGCTTGTCTGTGCGTTATCTTCTCTTTCAGAGGCGGTTGTCTACCTTGGGACCCTCATGGTCAGGGAGCTTCAAAAGCATTATCGGTCTCTAAGCATCGGAATTTAGTAGATCTGGCCAAATCAGTGTCCCTCGACTTATTTCTAGTTCTGTTTGTCATCATAGTGTATGTGACCGCCCATGCGTTGACACTTAGATGTCTCAGTGCCAGTAGGATGCTGGCGTACACGCTCGCATTTCAGTATATTGGAAAGCGTTATGCTTCACTCTGATCGACACGAGATGGATCCCTGAGCACCATCTGAAGTTCTACACGCAGGTCTTACAGCTTATGTATCCCCAGGATGAGAATGAAAAGCTGGTCCCCTCTGTCCACATCATAATCGATCTTCCGCACAAGGCAAGCAGACGACATGTGTATGGTTGGGAAAGTAGAACATTCTGGGAACATGCGTCTAACGACTTCGAGAAAAATGGCTATTATTTGCCCTCGTATCTCGGCCACCGGAAAGTCTGTGTGAATAGGCAGTGCAGAGAGCAGTTGCCAGCATATGGAGGCAGTGCATGCAATTCCACCACACTCGCTGCGGTCATCAAACACATAACATAATGTCAAGTTGGGGATTCAGTAGCAGAGGCGCTCATTCGTATACGCGAGCAGAAATGGTCGCCATACGAAGACAGGAAACACGAGCGTCGAATGCATGTCAATGTGCTTCTCCATGTCGATTTATTCTTGAACAGTCTCTTTGAACAGCACAGCTGACATCACTATGCTTCTCCAAAAAAAAATCTAGTGCCTAAAATGAGGGCCTGAAGGCGAGCTGCATCCCTTTCAGCGGAGTACACTAAGGCATCTCGATGCTACAGTGACAGCGCAAAGAATATTATCACTTCCAAGAAGTCAACAGATTGCAGACGCCTGTCGGCTTTGCAAGTGAAACTGAGGGCATGAGCAAAAGATCAGAACGTTTTGGAGTTCGTCGGAATCTATGTATCCAAACGAACACCTCTTGCGGAAGATCTTCACTGCTGTGCTGTGTCTGAAATCTCTTAAATTACTAAACCGACGGATTTATTCCAATGTTTTGCCTTGATTGAATACATCATTAGATGACATCATACAGTACATGGATGAAAGTAAAAGGGTCGAATGGGGCTAATCCACGATAGCATCACATGAGACATATGTGATAACGCAGCTGATATATCCAAACTCTCTAGGTCTTAATGTCTATCAATAACAAAAGTATTCTAATTATAAAAGTATCAAATGCTTTGAATAAAGCTCTGTAAACACGTTTTCAAAAACAGTCAACACAATGTACTAATGAATATATGAAATATGAAAAAAAAATTTAATATTAATATTATCATATCTCATTTTGCACAGTATGTAAGCCCTCGTGCATGTCAAATTTAGTTTCTTCAACTTTATGTAAATTTAACTCAGATGAGCAAAGAACTGAACTCTTAGCATATGCATGTGTTTTTTTGGCTAATGTGAGGGATCCACATCACGTGAAGAAGAATGCGTTGGTATGCCTACAAACCACACCCTTACTTGGCATAGTCGTGTAGTCTCTGTCCTCCAAATGGGCACTCAATCATATGGACACTTTTGAATAATACTGCACTAATACATGAGTAATCAGGATGTATGTACACGAACCGAGACAATAATGAGTAATTATGAAAAGCCCTTATGGATGTGAGCAATGAAGAACTCAGGTCATATCTTCGGGATTAAAATGTTTCACACATGCCTAAAGGTATACATAAAGAATACAATCTGGTTATATATCCTCGCATCTCAATGATAAATATTTCTTTAAAAGAGAAGTATGACAGCAAGTTATACAGTATACTCAATAGGAATATGTAGCCCAGGCTCATAGCCTCATGTTCGGTGGGAGAGAGTCACAAATAGAGAAGATAATAAAGGTAAGGGGGTGCCAATTAGCAACAAATGCTAGTTTCTCTTATATCACACTACTTAAAACCGTAGACTCATGCTAGATGTTGAGTTAAAATTCTGGTGAAATATTCACTAGAATAATAATTTCGTCAACGTTATCTTGATGGCAAATCTTGGCTGGCCTCTCTCAAACTCAAAATCACATGTCTTTCTAATCTTCGTGTTGATATGGAATTGGAGAGTCACAATTTATGGAGATTTGTTTGTGCGTCCACAAAGAGTTCGAAATAGAAATAGATAAGTGTGTGATGAAGGATCTTCTACAGCATGGCTTGGTGACTAATGCCTGGAGTTGAACCATTGGAAGCTAAATCTACATCACTGTTAGCAGCAAGGAGCCAGCTTCATAGACAGAAATGAGCTGCAGCACTCTAAAGCCTCCAAGGAAGAGTATCAGCGTTCCAGAAGATTGTGAACGAAAAAGTTACTGGGTCTATTCGAAGACATCACGATCTTATCCCATTAAGTACGGAAAAAAGCTTCTTTAGTTGCTTGCTAACTTTGCTATATTAAAATCCTATCGTTGCAGTTCTTTCTCTACCATGTACATGGCATACTATTGGACTTGTTTATTAGAATGTCCTAGTTAAATTTGACTGTTGACCATAATGGTACTTCAGACTCGAATCTCGTTTCCCGTTATTACTTTATCTCATTCAAACTATTACATCCAAATGAAGGTTCTAATTTTCGTCGTCCCTCAAGTGGCACATTAAGATAATAGTTCAAGTGGCAAGCACTGTTTGAACACTGAACCACAATGCAAGCGATGAGAGTTTCAAGTGGCGATATAAGTTAAGATATCTGCAGACTCCGGCAGAAACGACATAAAACCATCTCTGCAAACCAGTTCCCCACATGTCAAGTGGTGTCTACTTGAGTGAGACCGGTGAGCTGACACCATAGCATAGCACTGCTGTGAGAACTGTACCACTTCTGGCAAAGCTGTTTGTTGTCTAGACATGAGGATCTATGTTGGTGACAGAAGAATGGGAGACACGAGAAAACAGGTGGACGAGCTCAACATGATTCGATCCCTAGCTCCTACATTGTGTCGTTGACCACTCAGATTCTCACATGAAGTATTATTTTCACTGTGAACATTAAAACTAACACTGTCCCTTAGATCCTGACAGTTCGTTGGCTGGGATGGAAATTTTTGTTACATTTGGATCCTTTGTATCACGGCCTCGTGTTGTTTCTTCCCGACGACTTGAAGACTGCATCTCTGATGTTGAATCGGTCCAGGACTCCAGAATTTGGAAGTACTGGGAAGTTGAATCACTTGATGACTTTGAAAATCTTTGGTCTACCTTAACATCTGCCTACAGTGTAAAGAAAACTGCTTCAGTTCATCCAGCCTCGACGTAGAATCCTGTCGTTAGAATTGACTCGGATCAATATGGACAAAAGGTGAGCTTAACAGATGTTTGTCGAAAACTATGCAAGACCAAGTGAAGCCACACAAGTGAAAAAAGTAAGAAAATAAACAGTGTGTATTAGGGGTGAGTCCTATACGGTATAACATGATGAAAAATATTTTGTTCACGATTTAGGATATTATCTACATTGAAAGATGAACGAGTAACATTATGTACATGATAGCCATATAGCGATGATATTTGATGATCATAGCGAAGTTCATATATATTTTTACATACAAGATGTTTGGCTGTAGTTTGCATCATGCCGCATTCCATGTAGGTAAGACTCTATCCCATCAATTACAGACGGGCTTTTGCTTTTTG